TCCAATGGCATTGCTGTAGTGCATGACCCCGTCCCTCACGTTCTCTTTCTGGGGACCCTCTGCTCCTGATTTTGGGACACCTTCTCTTTATAACCAGAGTCATAGGGCAAAAGCCATAGCTCTGGGAATCCCAAAAGGCTAGGCTCAGCCACCTGTCCAAATATGTCAGTTAAAGAGAGAAGTAAAGGTATGAAGCAGAGAAAGGGTATTCGAAGAGAAGAGGGATGGATAAAGGGGTGCGTGCAGTGACTTCAAGTCCATCTGATACTGGCAGGAGCTTTAGAGTTAAATAGAGGAAGGTTGGGGCTGGCAGCAGGTAGGTATAATGAAGCAGTTCTGAACAAGGACTGGTGTGGCTGAGAATTGTCTCAATTTGGGTTCTGTTAAGTGGTCCAAAGAAGTCTTTATTGTTTGAGAGGGCAAACTGGTTCTCAGAGGAGGATTGCTCCAGCTCCAGGGTGCAGTCTCAGCCTGTGGACAATTGCCCTCATCTCAGAGCAGTCTGTCTTGAGAGGTTCTGCTCCACCTGGAATCCAAGGTGACTTCAGGTGTAGGACAACAGCTGGAGACCTTCAGGTACTTTGTGAGATACTGCCAGAGGACATTGTAAAGAGCCAACATTCCAATACTTTAGTTGCCCTCATCTCTGTGCCTTCAACCTTGAAGGGGAATCCAGACAGGTTAGGTATGGCTGGTTTCTAGATAGAATGTCCCTGAGTACTAGCAAGTCTACGAGCAAAGACAGAAGCAGGTGAACCAAAGTAAAAGACGGGTGCAAAATGAAGGCCAAGGTGCTAGGCTTTGCTCCTGCCGTCAGTTACCTGTGTGCTCAAGTGAGGACTCCATACTTTTTAGTAAAGCAGCTTCCAAGTGCTTGGTATATCCTAGTCTTTGTAATCTACTCTCCTTGCTTCCCCCTAAGATCTGGTTATTCCAGAATTGTCCCTGGATCTTTCCTTGGATTTCACATAGCCTGGGTTTTCAGCAATCACTTCTAGGTGACTCCAGGACTTACTGTTGACTCTTCTGGAACCCCAGTCTCCATGAGCACAGCCCTTCGGATTCCTTACCTTGGATAGTGGCACACGGTATGGAACCTCAGAAACCTAGCCCTGTTCTGGGCTCCTCTCTCCCTCCAGCACACAGCAGTCACCCAACCTGAAAACTCCTCTAGTCCATAGGTCTCTGGCACATCTCACTTCCCCCAGTTTTTTTGTCTTGCCTTCTCTTAGTCTTTTGCATCACACCTTCCAACCCATTCTCCCTTGGGGTCACAGCATTTGTTTTAAAACTCTATCCAGACTCTAGAGATCCTGTTTGGACCCTTCCCAGAAGCTGCCAGTCATCAGGCTTCAGCAGTACCCTCCTTGGTCTGAGTCTTGCTCACTGTAGCCACATTTTAAAACTGACGTTTTCACTCAAGCATGGGCCAGCCCCGTAGCAGTACCCAGCCCCACTCAGAGCACCTGCACCCTTGGCTCTAGATGGAGAGATGGTTGCCTCTGGGGATTCTTCCCTCTCTGCCCTACCCCAAAGACCTCCTGTCAGTTCCGGGACCCCAGCCTGCTCTTCTGGGAAGTCTTTCTTGCTATAGCCAAGCCAAACTCATCACTGTTCCCTGTGTGACCACAGTGGTGCTCCAGGCAGAGGTGGGCCAAATGCCTTCACCTGCCCTGTTTCTATCCAAGGACAGCACAGCACATAGCTGGTGTTCCATGGAATAAATTAGAACCCACACGTTGTAGTTGAACAAATTTGTATTTAACAGATAAGACTCATTTAAGATAATTAACACCTCTTTATTTGAAAATGCGCCAATATAATTTTTAAAATATACTGCTGAAGGGCTGGGGAGATAGCTCAGTAGATAGCTCAGTAGATAAAATACTTGCCTTGTAAGCATGAGGACCCGAGTTCAATTCCTAAAATCTATGTTTAAAAAGGTCAGACATGGTGGCACACATTTAGAATCCCAGTGTGTGGAGGCAGGAGGATTCCTGGGACCCACCATCTAGCTGGCTTAGCCTACTTGTTGAGCTTCAGGCTTGTGAGAGATGTGTCTCAAAAAGCAAGGTTAGTACACACATGTACACACGTGTGCATACCACACACACACATGCACGCACCCCCCCCACACACACAAATAATACATGTGGAAAATGGTTTGGCTCCTGAGGAATGACAGCCAAGGTGTGTGTGTGCTGTATGTATGTGTATACATGTTTACGTGTGTGGGTGCACGTGTGTGTGCTTGTGGACATTCCTACAGCCACCATTCCTCCAGCCAAACCTGCAACCTGAGTTTGATCCCTGAAACTGCACATGGTAAAAAGAATCAACTCCCACAAATTATCCTCTGATCTCCACATGCATACCATTGCATGTGCGCCCACACCTCCTCCCCCCACACACAATAAATAAATGTTTAAAAAAAGCAGTGTAGATAGAGGGTAGCGTGTACTCGGCACGCTGTAGCTCTGCAGGAACGGCATCTGGGTTGCTTTCACTTAATATTTTCCCCACGCGTTCGAGCTCCTCCCCCTCCATCTTCCTACATCTGTAGGTTCTCTTGTGTGAGGCTGTCAGCTATGCCCATCCCTGGCCCCCACACACGATATGCCAGCAGCGGCAGAGGATGGTGCCCCACATACTCAAGTCCTTTGTGTCCCCAGAGGCTGTCTTCTCCTTCCAGTGGCTCTTTGAGCCCACTAACACTTTCTGACAGACATTTCCTTAAGGCTCTGTATCCCTCTCCTGCTCAAGGTTCCCTCCAGGCTCCACTTTCTGCAGGTTGGACAGACCCATATCCCTGCATTCCCTCCACAATGGCCCAGCTACTCCTCATCTTCATCTCACCCACTCATCCACGTCACTGTCTTCCCAGCGCTGTCTAAGCTCACCTCCCTCCTCTCAGTGGACAAAGTGGGTCCAAGGTCCCAGCTGTCACCTTCCCCTCTGCAACCCCATGCAAGCCCTCCATTTGCCCAATGGAGGAAGAGTTCCTGCAGTGCCACATGCTATGAAGGCAGGGCCGAGTTGGCATCTGAGACCACCGTACAGACTTGTGAGGGGGCAACCTCCTCATCCAGAAAGGACAGCCTGCAGTCACTGTGTTGGACTGTTATACAAGGAAGACACTGCTATGCTTTGTGCTAGAGGCATGATGGGTTGATGTGTGTCATAGGGTCAACTTCCTGTTGTCATACTGTAGTGAGCTTCATCATTCTTTGGGATAGGGTGGAGGAACCTTGTTTGGAAATGCTGACACCTGGGCACCATGTCTGTGACAAATACTGTAGGTGGTGGTATGTATCTGAGGACACTCAATGAAGTTTACTTCTTTGACTACCACAGACCACTTTCTGTGTGAGAGGAACTGTGCCCTCACTGGAGACCTGAAGGTGAAGGAGATGAGGAGATGAGGCACAGTCTCCATTAGTGGAAGCAGTTCTGATGAGAAGAGTGGGGAAGGTCAGGATGGGAAATCAGCAGCTGGACCCAGCCTTTCTCAGCCTCCATCTTGAGTGTCAAGGCAGACCAGAGCAAAAGCTGCACCCAGAAGCAAGTAGAAGCCAGCAAGCTGGGCAGAGAAGATGAAAGCCAAGTTCAGAGGGAAGCAAATGGACCCCCCCCCCATAGTGTCCTTGAGGACAGTGAGAGACTTATGATCACAAGAATGGTCACCAGTCCATGGGCCAGTTTCCCAAATATCTCATTTTAGATCCTGGTGTGATTTTGACAGGTCATTGACCCCTGGAGGGGTGGGCAATATGAGATCAACCTGTGGTTGTGACCTTGGGCAAGATACTTAATTCCTGAGTCTCTGTATGTAAGCTAGAGCGGCAGGCTGAATAACAGTGCCTAAAGATGTCTACATCCCAATCCCCATATTGTGACTATGTGATCTGATCTAAGAGATTCTGTGATACAATGAAGCAGAAGATCTTGAGAGCTGAAGTTGTCCAAGTGTATTCTCACATGAGGCAGGCAGGGGACCAAGGATTCAAAGATGAGAAGGCAGAGCAGATCAAAGATGAGGTACTATGCTGCTGGCTTTGGCCATGGAGCAAGGGGCCATGAGCCAAGACCACAGGCAACTTCGAGAAGCTGGTGACAGCAGGAAATTATATCCCTATATGAACCCTGACGCCCCATTCAGACTGCCCTGACCTCCAGAACAGTAGAAGAATGCATTTGTATTGTAGAAGCCTCTAAGCTCGTGTGACAGGCAAAGGAAACTGACAGAGAGAACGCCAACCTGGCTACATCCTTGTGAGGCTCAGAGGCCACACGGGGAAGAGCCTTGCTTACTCAAAACTCAGTAAACATAGACTTATCTCCCATAGGGTACGTCAGAGATGAAAAGGAAAAAGAGGAAGGGAATGGAGAAGAGAAGGGAAGAGGAAAGGAAAGAGTAGAAAGGGAGGGAGGCATCTCCCAGGTGGCTCTTCATCCTATATCTCTCCCCTGCAGGTTGGAGTACTTGGGGACCACAGGGTTGCTTTGGGGAGACAGGTTCCCAAGTTGTAGCCCTGTCCCCTAGCAATCAGCATGTGGGCTGAAGTTACTTCCTGGCCATCCATGTCTCTTGAATTCACCTCTGTGGTTGGCTTCTCGGTCACCCTATGACACCTGCTCCCACCTCTGAACATCTATGCTCTTGGAGTTTCAGGCACATAAAATGAAGCCTTTCCACCTGCTGCCTGCTGTCCTTGCAGGCAGTGGCTCTGTGGCTTCTTCATGACAGCTTCTACTTGTTGTATGACATCTGGATCCACAGGAGCTACAGGCTTGTTGCTGGGCCCTGGAAGTCCCATGGTACACCTCCTCCAGGTGGTACCCTGACCTCTCCACTTTGGAGACAAGATGTGGCCAGGTTCTGAGTAGGGCAGAGTGTAGGGCCTCCCTGCTTCTCTCCCAGCCCTGGAGAGACTGGGCATTGGGACTGGGCTGGCAGTCTCACAGCCTCCTCTGAATCTGTCCCCTCTGGCCTCTCTCAGGTACATTTGTCTCGGCCTTCACTGTGCTGTGTGGGGCCCGCACTGACCTCCCAGACAGGCATGTGTGCTGCGTCTTCTGGCTGAACATCGCTGCGGCCCTCATCCAGGTGCTCACGGCCATTGTCATGGTGGGCTGGATCATGAGCATCTTTTGGGGCATGGACATGGTCATCCTCGCCAGTGAGTAGCTGCTGGTATGCCCTGAGGGAAGGGTGGGGTAGGGCCTGGCCCAGATGGGCAGGAGAAGCCTGGCCAGGGAGGAATGGGAGGCCTGCATTTGGGCCAGGGCTTCTCACCCCCAAAGATCCCCGTATCCTTGAACATGGCTTCCAAGGGCATATCTGTTCCTCTGCCTTAGTGCCATGGCCACCTAGCCCAGGGACCAGTCCCCATCAGGCCTGGTTTATAGGGTGGGTCTCCAAGGGAGGGGCCTCTCTCTAGCTAAGACACTGCTCTCAGCATTTGTCAAGGAAGCAGTTCTCTCACTGAGATTGGGTAGGCTGGTATGCCCCGGATGAGGACAGCCCCTTGGCCCACTACTGTGTATCTTTATCACAGTTTCCAGGAAGAACAAGGCCACATGCCCTCATCACCCATGGGAAACCTTATTGTACTTTACACCTAGATCTGCATGATTCCTTGTTGGGTTGAACTATGCTCTTTAGTTGGTTGGTGCCAAAGCCTTATTAATCCTCACTGTTGTTGAAGGCATTAATGATTCACCCATCATTAATGCAAACTCGGTTAGGTACAACCTTGTTTTGTGGAGGGATATAAAATTACAAAATCAAATTTACCAAAGACAGATTATCATCTTAAAAACCTAGCAGAATCTTAAAATCAGATATCACCTGTCTTGAGCAGCTATGAGTGTTTCACTGTACCACTGTCCCTGTTCCTACCTGTTGTGTGGTGGCTCTCAATAACTGGGGCCACATCTCCTTGGGCATTTTACCCTTAGGGCCCTGCTGTTCTCCATTGAGTTCACAGGTAGAGCTGCCAGTGCAGAGGTAAGCTGTGCCAGGGTTCTAGTTTGCTTCTCCATTGCTGTGACAAAACACTCTGACAATACTAATGTGGGGAGGAAAGGGTTTATTTGGCTTACATCTCCCAGGTCACAGTTCATCACTGAGGGAACCCAAAGTAGGACCTCAGGGCAGGAACCTGGTGGCAGGAACTGAAGCACAGGCCATGAAGGAACGCTGCTTACTGGCTTGGTCCCTGGCCCATGGTACTCAACTTGCTTCCTTATACAATACAGGATCATCTGCCCAGGGGTGGCACCACCCACAATGAAGTGGGCCCTCCCACATCAATCACAGTCAAGAAAATGTCCCACAGACATGACCACAGGCTAGTCCAATGGAGACAATTCCCCAATTGAGGCCCCCGCTACCCAGGTGTATCAAGTTGACAACTAAACCTATCCATACCAGGTGAAGACCCCAGAGGCAGGAGGGATAGCCAGGGTTCAGAGGCCACAGAATGGTCTGGAATGACCCAGAGCTGACTTAGCCTGAGTTGAGGTTCTTTGGAAGATGCAGGAGCTCAGACACACACAATGCCAAGGCCAGGGTTAGTGACCTAACCAGTCACCTCACCAGAGGTGATACAAGTACCACAGCATGGTGGGACCTACAGTGTAGGTGAACTGGGCATACAGACCACTCAGGAGCTGAGTTTAGGGAGGAAGTCGGTAGGCTAGACTTCCAGGGTATACCACAGGTAGAGCCAGCCAGGCAGACCAGCAGCAGGCCAGGGGAGGAGGAGGAGCATCAGGCAACAGTGAGGGAGCTACCCCTTTCTTCTGGAAGAAGGTCAGATCAAGGCAGGCTGTATGAATCCCCAGTGGAACTCACTCTCACTGTTGGGGAGGGTCAGAACACTGTTGCTAGGAGAGATATGCCACTAGCCACTGTGAATCCCTAATGCAGTGTGGAGATTTCCCAGGGGCCACTGGGCTACTTCTTCAAGGACCTGTGGGGTATCTGTGGGCCACAGACCCCATTGCCAGCTACAGCCTAGAAGGTGCAGCTGGTCCAGAAGGCCTGGGAAAGCTGTCTGTCCTCACATGACTGCTTGTATCCTTGTCAAATGTGGCATTGGCACTTGTAAAAGAGTTTCTGTTGTTGTAACACATATGTGGGGTAAATAAACTTATATAGGGAAAAGACTTACATTGGCTCTGAGTTTTAGAGGGATCAGTTCATGACTGGTTGGCCTTGCTGCTCTGGGCCTATGACCGGGCAGCACTTCAAGGCAGAAGAGTTCTGAAGAACAAAAAATTACTCACTTTGTGCCTGGGAGGGGAAGGAAAGATGAGAAACCAGAGTTTCTGTATCCCCTGCAAGGGAATGACCCAAGTGAGCTAAAGACTTCCCCACTAGGCTCCTGGGGCTCAAGCCTTCACCTGGGCCTTCACAGGACATTCCAGATCAACCATGGTAGTGAGGAGTGACCTGTCCCAGGCTAGGTCTCAATAAATTATGTGTAATATGTGTTATGCCAAGTCTGTTTCCTGTAGCTTCCTGGTATCTAGATGACCCCTGACCTTCTCTGGGAGTAACACCCCCTGCCCCGCAAAGCCATCATATGTCAAGACTATCACATCAAAAATGAGCTCAGCACCCTGAGAAACCCATCATAGACTGGCAATATCACGAGTTGAACCATTCTGTCAGGAACCCTCTGCACTTCTCTTTGTTCCTTCTTAATTTCCAGGAACCAAGGGGTCCAGATTAAAGCAATCAGTTGAAGATTCACCCCACTAGTCCTAGATGAGATAACAAAGACCCCAAGAAGTACAGATAGGGGTCCATGCCCTTCTTCCCTTCCTGTCCCCTAGGCTGCTGACTTGGCCAGAGCCCTAGCCCCAGCCTGGTCCTTCTCTCCTGCCCACCCAGATGCTCCTTTGTGGGATGGTCAGTCCCTTGGCTGTGTGGACTGGCCCCAGGGATGCTATCTCTGCCTCAAACTTTCACCATGCTTTTGAGAGGCCACAAAAGATCAATGGCCTCTCCCTCATCCCCATGTGACCACCAGACACATCTACCCATCTAACAGCCATTGCCTATGTGGTTTTTCCAAAAATTGCATCCACCCTCAAAAGACAATTGCACGACTTTCATGAGATGGGCTAGGGTTCCTCTGAGCAGCCATGTGTGAGGGTGTGTCCTGGGAGAGCTCCTTAGAAGGGAAGAGCTGTAACTAACTTTGTCCTCAGGACACCTGGGTAAAAGGTTCTTCCTTCTGGCATCACTGATGTAACAACCTGTAGGTTGGTTTTCACATGGCACCCTTGAGGTGCTTGCAGAAAACACAGCACCAAACAAAACTCCTGAGAAGAATCAGAGACTTGGCTGAACACAGAGGCTAAAGTGAAGGACTTATCAAGCTTCTGCTGTGTCTGCACCAATAATAAGCAGCAACAGACACAGCAACCTGTCTTGATCACAGGTCAGTACATGTTTGGTATCTCACCTGACTGTTCCATTGCTACATCCATAGCAGACATTGCTAATCAATTGTAACACTTGTCTCAGCACAAGGCTTCTGGCAGTCACTACCAACTGATCAAAGATGTCTGACATCCTCAGATCTAGGTCTTTCCCAAAGCATTAATGTTTATAAATGTGGGTCCCATCCTCCCCTCCCCTCCAAAAAAAACCCATGTGGTCCAGATCAGGAATGGGATCAGGACCCATCACTACAGCAACTTTAGTTGGTCAGTCAAAGCTACTTTCCCTGCACCTGTACCTCTGCAGAGGCATCCAGAAGGCATTTGAGACAGCATGGGCTTGGAGAGGGGGAGCAGGAATGAAGGCAAGAGGTGAGCAGGGACATGGGCATGGCTGAGGTGGGCGCTGGGCCGGCAGAGGCAGGGTTGTGTGATACAATCAACAGGTGGGGCTGGGGCTGGCCACAGCGGGTTGTCACTGTAAACACTGAGCATCCCTTGAATGAGGCCCTGTCTCTGCAGAGCCCCTGTTCCATCTCCTGGAACCCTCGTGCCCTCCCTTGTTGTACATTTCCAATGTGCCTTAGCTTCTGTTTTCAGACTCTCTCTCTCTCTCTCTCTCTCTCTCTCTCTCTCTCTCTCTCTCTCTCTCTCCCCTCTTCCTCCTGCTGCTGCCTCACATCTCTGCTGCTGCAGTTTCCCAAGGTGAGTCTGTTGGTAGGTGTACACCCTCCCCACTGCATGGACCCTTCACCTCCAAGTTGGTTAATGGACTTGCATATTTAGCTTTTTTTGGGAGGGAAGGAGGGCACTTAGTTTAATGAGTCCCTAATCCCTGCACCAACTTGGGCCACTCATGGCTCCTCCACTGCCCCTATGTTGCCCACCAACCCTGGATTGTTAATACCTAAGAGTGACTGGTAGCCTGCTACATGGAAAATGACCCATTGGGGACCCCTGGCACTCCTCCTCAGGCCAAGGCTAGCAGGGTAACAGCTCAGCACATCCATTTCTGCTCTCTCGGCTATGTAATCTCACCCAAACAGATTAGGGACAATCTCTTAACGTCATCTGTGCCTTGACTTTCCCAAAAATGGCTGGGGATATAGCCCAGAGTTAAGTATTAACCTAGCATGTTAACGTTAGGTTAGCATAAGGGCCTGGGTTTCATCTCCAACACCAGAAAACAAAAGTCCCATGATTAGCAATGATGGTTTGAAGGCTCAGTGTTCTCCAGCCTCTGACCCTGTCCCAGCTGTCCAGCTGGTTGCACATAGGCATGACAGATGCTCCCTGATCTGTCTTGTCTTTCCCTTCCTTCCTTCCTTCCTTCCTTCCTTCCTTCCTTCCTTCCTTCCTTCCTTCCTTCCATACTAGGCCTTGCCTAGTATATCTTTGCTGCTGTATGAATAAGGTCCTCATAGCATAAACAAGGTCTCCTGAGTACAAGAGTGACCTTCTGATCTGGGACACATTGGACAAGTCCTAAAGGAAGTGGCTACCGACCTGACATCTCCTCTGCTCCTTCCTCACAGGGTACAAGGAGCAGGGCATCCCACAGCAGCTGTGAGCCTGCACGACCCACCAGGAAAGTTCAGGGCCCTGTGAGGGCTGCACCAGGTGACTTCAGGCACAAGGACCTTCACACGTTCTCTTCTGCCATTTCTCCAGTTGGGGTGGAAGGGGAATATTTAAAAATACATTATTTATTTTGAAAAACATACCTGCTTTTCTCAGCAGGCTCTGAGGCCAGTCTCTCTCTCTGCTCCAGAGGTACACGGGAGAAACAGGCCTGGAACACTGGGACTGGGCTAGAGGTGGGGAAGTGACAGAATACCAGGAGTGCTGGGCAGGCTCATCTAACTTTCCACTGAACAGGCACCCAGCCCTGTCAGGCTTGGTTGCTGTAGGCCCTGTTGTAGGTGACCAGGAGCTCTCCCAGGATGCAAGACTTCATGGAATACTTCCTCTGGGTCCTTACCCCCTGCTCAACCATGTGGCATCCTGTGTCTGCTCAATGCTTTCCTGGAGGCAGCAGAGGGTGAGGGTGGTCCGGTGGCCAGGTGGAAGCCCAGCATGGAATGACCCCTGGGTCTCCATAGGTGTCTGACCACACTCCAGCCTCCTTGTCACTGACAGTGAAAGGCTGGGGGGGGAGGTATGACTTTTGCTTCCTTGAGGTGAGGTGGGCATTGGATCCATCCCTGGGTGACACTGTTAGAATTCTAAATGTTTATATACAACATTACCAGGCTATGCCAATGGCTGCAGACTGACAGCCTTCCTCAATTATTACTGTTTCTGGTACACCTCCTTTTTCTGAAATCCATGTGTTTCTGAATCTAGACATTTTGGTTTGGGGAAGATGCTATCTCCTAACACCCCAGCAGAGTCTGGGCTACCCACCCACCATCAAGCATGTGAATATCTCTAGATAGCTGGAATAGTCAGATTCCTTGGGACGAATGAACTGTTTAGGTCAGATTTTGCTCCTGAATAAGTCCCAGGGGACACTGGCCACCTGATTGCATTTGAAGTGTCAGATTAAACAGTCACATCATGAGGTTGGGAACCTTGACCTGAAATTCTACATGCTGCAAGCAGGTGCATCAGGGACTGATGTTGATATGACACATGGACCTCTGTGCCCCTTTGAGTGGCTCACCTGGGAGTTATCAGTAGAGTTAGATCCTTAATAGGGGGAGAAGCCAACAGAAGGCACTAGTGTGGGCGACAATCTGAAATTAAGAGCGAAAGGAGATCCAAAATTAGTGATGGGATGGGGCTTCCCATCTCTTCTCTTTCTATTCTAAACAGGAAGTGCTAACATATGGGACAGGAGAACTCAGTTCCCAGATGCACTGGCCTTGAGCCATCCATGGGTCCCTCGATGAAAGGCTTTCCTCATTAGCTGAAGCTCTGTTACAGCTTGGCCAGGACTGTAGAAAGGAGCTGGTCATGTTCTACACTGATGGATGGAAGCTCTTGAGAAACAGCTCCCACTGCAGAGGGTTTGGGGAGAGGGTATCCCAGCCCCTCACCAGGCTTCTTAATTCCAGTCCTTGGAAGCAGGCCCCCTAACTGGACAGTCCCTGACATCATGGAGATGTGGAGTTGTGTGCAGTACTCAGTCCTGGCTCTAACTTTGGGCAAACAGGCCTGTCTTACCTTTTGTTCACCCATTGGTTTCTTCCATGGCTGTGTGTCCTTTGAAAACACATGGTAGGGTCTTGTATCTTCCTATGTTCCCTTCTTTCCAAACCCAGCCCAGGCTTCTGTGGCTTCTCTCTGTTTGTTTGCGCCTGTATCTTGGGTATGGGAGCAGGCTTGGTCCTCCCCCATGCAGCTGTCATGCAGGTAGATCAGTAGGGAGTGAAGCTTCCCTAGAACTGCAGGAGACAACCTCAGCAGAGGGAAGTGACGGGTCCCTGTCCCTTCTATGCTTCCAGCCCACAGCCCCTTCACCCCGCCTAGCCAGTGATGACAGGCCTCAGCAAGGTCGGTCCCCACAAGCGAGGGTGAAGTCTATTTCCCTGACTTGGGTTGGGGGTGGCTACTGGGGGAGGTGAAAGAAGACAGCAGTTTATATTGCTTGTTTAGTGACATGAGCCAGACTCGAGTGGGACTTTTTTGAGTGACAGGTGTCATCATGAGTTCTCACTGGGATGGCTTAATATAGAGGTTTATGAGTTTGGAAGGCTGTCTCCCTGGCACCCCCTCACTCTGGGTGGCTGATGTGGGGTGGAGTCAGGAGATCCCCACCTGTGAGTCTGAGGGTTGCTACTAGCTCAAAATAGTGCCCATAAATGAGGTCATGGCCTTAGCCCAATCACTGTCAGACAATGGACAGTGGCAGGTTTGCTTCATGTGGTTCAGGATGCTCACTGGACCATTGGTGGCCAGAGTACATCTACTAAATACCATCTGGCTGGAAAGGAGGGCTCTCAGGCCAGCACGTGCTTGGCAGGTGACAAAGCCAGGTTCCAACTGAATAGCAGAATTCAGGGTCCCTGTCCCAGCTGAATTCTTGCCCAAGAATTCAGAAGAAATTTTCCCTGGCTATCAGTTTTGGGGGCAAGGATAACAGACACACAGAGGGCACCATGGTGAATGGGACACTGTCAGGACCCAACAGTGGCATAGTGATCAGAGTGGCCAATCTCTCTACCAAAGTGGGACCCTGGAGCAAGAGTGAAGCACCCAGCAGCCTGACTGTCCTACCTTCATTTCTGTTGCTGTGACAGAATATGCTGACAAAAGTAACAGGCCAGGAAGTCGTTTATTAGGCTTACAATTCCAGGTTACATACAGTCCATCAGAGCAAAGGATTCACAGTGGCAGGAACTTAAGCAGCTGGCCACAGTCTAGAGCCAAGAGAAACAAATGTGTCCATGCTACCTGCCTGCTTGCTTGATTCTTAGCTAGCTTTCTCCACTCAGGACCCAGGAAATGGTGCCACCCACATTCAGGGTGGGTCTTCCCGCCTCAAGGAACCATCAAGACAATCCCCGACAGATATGTCCACAGGCCAAACTGATCTAGATAATTCCTCATTAAGACCCAGGTGATTCTAGATTGTGTCACATGCACAGTTAAAACCAGCACACTGGGCATATGTGGAGTACTGTGAAGACTACTGGACCAGAAAGACTGATATGGCTCCCTTTCCCCAGAACCGCCAGCCTCAGACTGCTGGCCTTGCTTAGGCCAAGTCTCCAGCTGCGTTGGAAAGAAAGAGAAGGAAGTGACATGGGCATGATCTCTTCCCTCCCTCCACTGTTCTAGATGTGTGTCCAGCCCCAGCGAACAGCCTCAGCAGTAGGCCTGGGCCCAGGCACTGCCTCCAGTGGTTCATCTCCCACTGTTCTGTGAGGACTTTGCTAAGCTTTCATGTGGTGAGCCAAGGCTCCTGAGAAAGTGAGCCATGACCCTAGACACACACCCCTCAGAAGTCACAAGGAATAACTAACCTCAGAAGGACCAGAAGAATTCTCCCCTGTCCTTCTAGCTCCCTTACCTCACCTGCCATCAAAACTACACCCCCTGGCTTCCTAAGCTTCCTTGTGGAAGGCAGAGGCAGATAGCAGCTAGAGCTAGAACAGGTGCTGAGAACTGCCTGGTCTAACCAGCAATCCATGGGACTCAGTTCCTGCATCCCTCATGGGGCCAATGCTGCACTGATGGATGGTAGAACCATGAGGTGAATTTGCCTACAGGATGCTGGGGCCTGAGGAGCAGCGGGGAGGATGCTGCTAAAAGGCGACACAGAAAGGAAGTAAGCCATGTGCCTAACATGTCCCCTGGACAGAAAGAGACCAAGATGTACAGAAGAAAAGCCATCCACACATTCAAACATTGGCCAGCACACTATGGAGCCTTGGAACCAGATAAAAGTCCCCCAAAGGCCCAAGGTCCTAAAGGGGGAAGGGAAGCTGAATGATAGTGTTTTTTTTTTTTACCTTAAGATGCAAACCACAGACACCACTGTATGTCAGTCCTCTTTAGCTGACCCATTCCCTGCTAGGCTGGTGGTGACCTTAGCAGAGGACATTCCTCAGCTTAGTATGAAGTGAGAGGAGGCCACTCAGGCCTTAATAATGTGCATTATTGCTAATGACATGGATGAAGAAAGCTGGGAGCAGGCACAGACTTCTTGGGGAAATAGAATGGAAGCATGGGTGCTCTGTTGGTGGCGAAGACTCTGGGCAGGTCTTTCTTACGTCCTCTGAATCACGTTCAAGCTCCACTGCAGGGATTAGAGGGGAAAACCCCCAATCTCATCATCCAGAACTCCTTAGAGGCTGACCTCCACTGTGGTTTGGGAGGGAGAACATCTATTCCAGGGATGAACTGCACCCAATACAGACCAAGGGTTCCCCCTAGTGGAAGCAGGGAGCCACCTGCGGGCCAGGGAAATACACCTGCTTTGCATTTGAGCAGTTAGCAAATATTGCCCTGTGCCAATGTGGGCAGATCCTGAGCTTGGTGAAAGATGCTCTCCACTCCACACCCCTGTAGTCTCCAGGCTCTACCAGTGACAGCAAGGTGGGAGAGACCCTCTTCCCCAAGGACCAGCTGTTAAATCTTCTTCCAGGGATCTCTGGGCACAGGTTGTAGTGGACAAACTTATCGTGGCCACTGGAAGTGATCATGTGAAAAGGACTGCTGAGCAGGTGGGTGAGAGACTCGGGGCCTGTATGTTTCCTCAGCTTTCTTCCAGTCAGCTTCTTGGGGCTTTTGGATGTTACTGAGTTCACAAAGGCAGGGCATTTTTGCACTCAGAGTGTGACCCAGTCTAAATCTCATGATGTACTACGACAGGATGAATCCCAACCAGGGCAGTCCTGAGCACCCACCACACTCCAGAGTGCCTCTGGTCTAATGTCTTCAGGATCACCTGCATCCTTCCAGTTGCCTTGGCCTCCGTTTAGCCATCTACAATGCAGGACTAAAGCCAGTTGGTCCTAGACAGCCTTCATTTTCCCCAATCCTGCCAAAGTCAAGGGTTTAGAGAGCCCAGGCCCACCCAGGGAAGAGAAGTGTGCTTCCTCATAACTCAAAGGCTGACAACCCCAGAGCTGGGAGAGTCCAGACTCTTCCTTGCAAAACAAACTCTATCACAGAGCACCCTGTTGCATAATTTCCTGGGGAGAAACAGAAACACCTCTTTGCCTCAGATAAGACACCAAAAGACCAAAGAAATTATTCCATTCCAGTGCAGTTTGAGGAGCTAGTGAGTTCATTGGGGCTACTAATGAGAGCATGGGTGACTCTTGGTAAGCTACATCACTGAAAAGTTCCACCCCAACATGGGTGAAGACTCATGAAAGCTGCATCACTATAGCCCCACCCCATTCAAACACTTCCTATATACTCCATCAGCCCCCAAGAACTCATGAAGCTGGGGTGGGAGGGAAAAAGGGAGTGGCTGGAATCTCAGGTGAGGGTCTCATAGCTCCCTACTGCCTTTAGGAAGTAATGTCAATAGGATGGATATTGTGAAGAGTTCCTGGGTAATCGCCACTGCTCCAACTTCAAGATGTCAATGGCCATGGCTTGCCCCGACAACAGACTTCCACTGCACTGCCTCCCACACCATCAAGGGAAGAAGGGGCCACCTGGGTATCTCTTGAGTTTCTAGTACAAGCCCAGGAAATCTGGATTTGGATTTAGCTAGGGAACCTTGACCTCCAACCCCTCTCCAGTCCTGCCCAGATTTCCCAAAATGTCAACCTTACAGTCCTCCCCCAGTGCATTTTCACATGAATGGGCAGGATATACTCACATGTGCGTACGCACAGACACACACACACACACACACACACACACACACACACACACACGTAGCACCTATATTGCTAGCAAGCAGCACAGAGGCAGGATCGGGGAGCTCAACTCATACATCTCCCAATTGCCCTCATGACCCCCTAAACCCCATCCACTATGCACATCAATTCCTCCCTCTCTCTAGAGCCCCTGGCCTGTGAATCACTTCCTCCTGGGGTCCAAGGGCTCAGCATCCCCATCCTCTCCCCACAAAATGCAGCTGGGCTTAAGCCCTGGCCTGGCCTGGTATGGAAGGGATGAGATGGGCCTGCCCTGAAGGAAGAGATGCTGACCTCTTCCTGACACTTTTCCAGAACTGCACACAGTACTTTTTCTGAATTTCTTTTTATTCCTACCTTACCTACCCCAACCAAGAAGCCAACAAGAAGTGGAGGAGGAGGGAAGTTTTAAGCAGAGACACATGGTGGTGGGGGTTGTGACAGCTTCTACCGGGCCCTGTGGAACCATGGCCAGCCCTTCTAAGCACAGTTCTGTGCCATTGTCCACTTTGACATTTTATTTTAAATAGCACATAAAAAGTAGACACTGGCTGTGTATATCGCTGAATTTATGTATGGACAAGTGTAGTATTGTGAATTAGTGTTTTGGTGCTGTAGTTGGCTTTGTTTGGGTCTCTCTTCTCTGTTAAATTAATTGCTGTACAATTTCATGTTCTGACAATATCCAGGGCTTTAAAAAATCTCATTTCTACCCACAGGGAGCCCACCCACCCCAATCCAGCCAAGGGAATAGCTAGCCCCATTCCAAAGATTGGAAGCTTTCTTGGAAGACAACTTGGACTATGTGGGCCCTAGGGAAGATTCTAGACTTGCCTGACCTTGGGCCCAGGTTTGGGTGTGGCTGATTGTTGCCAGTGCCCTCAGGCTTGAGCCCTGGCCCAGGGGTCCACAGGGTCCCACAGGAACAGAGCAGGGCTCCCACCTCTCTAGCCTTCTGCCAGCTTTAAACCCCTTCCTCCAGCAGCACCACTGTACATGTGCTGAAGAATACCACTTATGACAACAAAACTCATGTACATATCCCATATACATACGTGTACATATACATGTGATCCTCTTATAAATATACAAAGCATGGATTTTCTTTGGCATTCCAATTTGTGTTTTTTTTTTAAAAAAAAAACAAAAACCCTTGGAAATACGGTTTGGAACCTTTTCTTCCTTCTCCTCTTTTCTACGTAATAAATGTTCACGTGACCTTTCTGGTGGCTTCTGAAATTCTTGTCTTCCATATCTGTAATCAGAAAGATCTCCAACAGCTCGTCCATCCCTGTCTCCCTGTAACCTCAGCTGCTGAGCTTCCTATTCTAAAGGCCCTGCCCTCCCTGCAGACCTGCTTCCATTTCCCCCCCTCTCCAAAGGCTGGCTCCAAGTGCTCCACAGACCAGTGTGCATCTCTGCTCACTGGGTCCCTTTGTGGCCAGGGACACATGATCTGAATAAAGCATCAGGACCCAGGAAGTGCACAGCAGGAACCCATTTCCTTTCTTGATTACTGGCCTGGCTGACAAGAGAAATGTGTGCGAGATATATGTTGGACAATGTCTTTCCATAAATGGGCATTTGGGTAGGAGTGGTTAGAACTAAGAGCTGGCTGTTGTCCATCAGGTGGGACCTGTTAAAGTTTGGAAGGGATTACAGGGTGCTGTCCACAGTCCAGCATATGCCTGCATTGACAGATGGATGGAGACCTAGGGAATTTATTAAATTTGCTGATGAAGGGTAATACATATATTACAGACATATATTACAGATGAACACATGAGAATCCAGAAAGCATTCTAATATCTGACTAAATAGGCTTAAAAACTAAAGTAGTAAGAAAGATATAGACAGTCACTTCATACTAATTAAGGGAACAATCCATCAAGAGAACACTATGATTCTAAACACATGTGCCTCAAACACAGGGGCACCTAATTTCATAAAAAATACTATTAGATGTAAAGCCACATATTAACCCTAGCACAATAGGAGTGGGTGACTTCGATACTCCCTTTTCGCCAATTGACAGGACTTCTTACTAAAAATTAAACAGAAATATGTGAATTAAATGGTGTCAAAGGATTTAACAGATATCTATAGAACATTCTATCCAAATGCTATAGAATGTACATTCTTCTCAGCTGCCCATGGAACTTTCTCAAAAATAGATCATATATTAGGACACAAAGCAAGTCTCAATAAATACAGAAAAATGGAAATAATTCCTTGTTTCCTATATGGTCACAATGGTCTAAGATTATAAATCAATACCAAGAGAAACTCTAGGACATACACAAACTCCTGAAGCATCCAGGAAGCTCTGGGCAAGCAGAAGTCATCTAAGAACATGGAATTGAATGGTGTTGGTATAAGACATCTGCATGGGGATGAACAACCCCTGTGCATCCCTCACAAACCTGAGGGATGTCCCAGCACGTCTAGGGTTCATGAGCATCAAGGTGAGCTGACAAAATAGATCATTTGCAGTAGCTGTTTGAGGAGCATAAGGCTGGAGGCCAGAGTGAGACCTGCCTGTAGTGTTGCTCTCAGTGCTGGGCCTAGTAGGTATGTCCCATGCATGTGGTTTCTTCCTTTGACCCATGGTAAGTGTCTGTTCTCCAACCTGCAGCCATTTGCTGGTCCATGAGGTTCTTAAATGGGAAGCTGTCCAGAAGGGAGGCTGGCTACAGCTGGTCACAAAAACCTTCTCACACAGTGATGCCATGAACCAAATCATGTCCATCCTACAGTCTACATGGCTAACCTCCAGTACCCTCGATGTAACTGTGTCTGGGGACAGGATATTTAAGAGGTAATGAGGTCATTATGGTGGCCCTATCCTGTGATGGTTGGTGTCCTTCTAAGAAGAGGAGACCAAGACACAGACACACAGATGAAAGACTGTGTAAGGACACAGCACAAAGTCAGCCATCTGCAAGCCAAGAAGAGCAGCCTGGGAAGGAACTTGATCTTGAACTTCAGCCTCAAGCACTGTGAGCCTAAGGCCTGTGATTCTTTGTTATGGCTGTTGGAGCCAACTAACGTCATGCCACAAACCAGGAATGATAGAGGTGGTCACATGGTTGATAGTAGAAGAGGATCCCAAAGAAAGATAGTCACCTGGATGGGGCAGCACTTTCCTGGCCCAGGGACCAGCTCTGGGCAGACCTAGGAGGCCTTGGGTACTCTGAGTGTCTACTTTCCCCCAGTGTCTAAGAAGCTCAGCTAAACCCTGGCTACCCCTGAGGTAAACCTGGAAACCCAAACAGTAATCCACGATGGTGTCTCCACTAGGGACATGGGCCTCTTGAGTTAGTGTCTTCTTTGCTCACTTTGAGGCCCCCCAAAGTGTCCCTGATCTGGGGAGAGCTGAGAGAAGAGGGCAGTGTGCAGCAGAAGCCCACAGCTGCCTCCCAGGCAGGGGTGAGTGTTTATATTCTCATCAAAAATAGCAATGCTGGGAAACAAAAATGCTATGCAGCAAAGAAAGCACATTGTGGAGGAATTAAGCCTCCTCTAGGAGCCATCCCTGGCTTCTGGGTTTCCAGTCCAGGAGGGAAGTCTGGAAGCTATGAGACAGAGGAGCCACATCTGCTACTGACTTCTGGGGAAGCTGGGCACACATCCAGAGTCCTTTGAAAAAGCTGAGCAGAGATGTATGGGCATCATTTATAGAGGACTCAGCACTAGGGCTGAACCTGTTGGCCTTCAATATGACAGTGCCCTACAGTGTGCACCTTCTGTTCTCTCTACACACAGGGCCTTCCTCACTTGATACCCAAATCCTTCATGGCTACCCAGGTTTAACCTGGAATCGACATTCACTAGTGTGACACAAGCTGGCCTTTACTTTTCCAGGGGGCCAACTCTTCTCTTAGTGATGCCAGGAAGGCTTCCAATCCTGGAAGCCACCTACTGATAAGCAAGCACAGTTCTGCAGCCCTGGCCAGGCCCAAGCTCCCTCTGAGCTTCTTACCTAGGGGGCCCAGCACCTTTCCTGTGATCTTACTACCTGGGTGAGTTTCCCTCCTTGGTTCTCAGGCTGTAGCTTGTAAGCTAGAAACTACTCGTGGTTATAATTTCCACCCCTGGGGGCAAGGTGCCAACAGGCAAAGAAAGGCAAACAGGAGAGAGTCAGGAAGTGTTTCAGCTCTCACAGTGAGGCCAAGGCTAGCTCTGCCCAGCCCTAGTTCAGCAGCAAGAACCACATGGGTCTTCTCCAGCTTGCTCCTTCCTTCGTTTCCTTTATTCCCTCCTCTCTCCCTTCCTTCTTTCCTTCTTTTATTCATTCCTCTTAACCTTCCTTTTGTTCTTTTCTTTTTCCCATAAACTCATTCAAGTTCTTTCTTTCCATAGTTTTAAAAAAGAAAGAAAGTGTTCAAGGCCAGCCTGGTCCACATAGTGAGTTCCAGGACAGCTGGGGCTACAGGGAAACCCTGTCTCAAAAAGACCAAAAAAAGGGCTAAAGGGAAACCCTTTCTCAAAAAAACAAAAAAAAAAAAAAAAAAAAAAAGAAAGAAAGAAAGAAAGAAAGAAAGCATGCTTCCTTCTCTGGCTCACTGTCTTCCCTGTTCCCCTTCCTACCTAAGGACAAGTGTTATCATGTATGAACTACTACAATGTGCCTGATCTAGACCAGGTATGCTACTATAACAAATACCTGAGGCAAATCAACTGATAAAGAAGAAAAGTTTATTTTGGCTCATGGTTTCAGAGGTTTCTGTCCATAGTCCATTAGCCACATTGTTTTTGGGCCTGTGGTAGGGCAGTACATCCTGGTGGGAGCACATGACAGAGGAAATTGATTACCTCATAGCAGGAGTGAAAGAGAGGGAGGAAGAACAGAGTGAACAATAATCACTCAGAGCCACACCCCAACTGACCTGACTCCCCCAAGCCCCCACTAAGTTCTGCCTCCTAATGGTTCCACTACCTACCAGAAGTGCCACAAACTGGGGACCAAGTCTTCAGCATATGATCCTGTGTTCAAGATCCAAACTATAACACCGAGTCCTTGCACATCTCACCCACACCTAAACACACACACACACACACACACACACACACACACACATCAGCCTCAGGCACATGTATCATTGTTTTGCATGTTTGGTAAGTAATGAATTGGGGATTGCCAAGCTATAAGTTTTCCATCTCACCCCCATCTTCCTATTCTGCCCATTCCCCCCCCCCAAATGACAGTAATGCAGAACACCATTTGTAACTTTAGAAAAGTATAAGATGGGTATGGTAGTGTACACCTTTAATCCCAGCACTCAGGAGGCAGTGGCTGGCAGATCTCTGTGAGATAGAGGCCAGCCTGGTCTATATAGTGAGTTCCAGGCCAGCTGGGACTATAGGGAGACCCTGTCACAAAAACCAAATAAAAAGTGTGGGTGCCTATATGCACAATTCCTACTAGCCCCATATTTAATAGAAAAGTTCCCAGTGAGGAGTAACATGCACACTCTTTTATTTCCATCTATCCGATGGCTGGTAGAGACTGGTCCCAAGTATGGTACATCATACTGGTGAAAGCACCTAGGGTATAGCGAGAGTCACTGACTGGTGAGTGAGGGTCAGTGAAGAACTAGAAACAGAGAGTCTTGGTACCTTGATCTAAGCCTTTTCCTCCTGAGCTCTCTGGAAATGAGCACAGAGGGCAGTGGTTGGGGTTTGGGAGTCCTCCAAGATCCCAGTCCTTCAGCCAGCATCCTGTCAGTCATCTCTACAGCATTCTCCACAGAGCAGGAGCTGAGGCACACAGTACTTTGTGGAGAAGGCTGGGTGTCTCAGACACCCCTAAAATAGCACCAACTTCTGAACATGTTTATTTCCTTCTGTCAGCCATGGCCCCAAGCCAGGTAAACTTAACTAGTGGGTGGAATTAAAAGCAACTGAGTGGTGATTGACATGAAGCACACCTGCATGTTGCCCCGCCCACCTTCTACCAAAAATGAAAATTATTTTATGCAAAGAATCCTCTGCACCTAAAGTAGAAGCAGAATTTGTTTCTCGTGGCTTCCCGCTCCTTTAAGTGTTGGTTAGTTAGTCATTCAAATAAGCATGAGCCCACAGGCCTAGAGACTCACTCGAAGAATTTCAACAGACATTTGGACGATGGGGAAAAGTCTTAGGCACAGCAGCTGTGCAAGCATTCCCAAAATGTCTTGAATATCAGTGAAAGTGGCTCACTTAGCACACTTTGTTAACTCTC